TCTCTCTCTCTCTCTCTCTCTCTCTCTCTCTCTCTCTCTCTCTCTCTCTCTCTCTCTCTCTCTCTCTGAGGCAGTCTCACTATGTAGCCAGGGCTGGCCCACAGAGATCCACCTGCTCAGCCTCCTGAATGCTGGGATTAGAGACTCACACAGCCTCGTGCAGCTCCTGAGGTTTTATTCTAACGCAGGTGGTGACAGGGTCTTTTCCCCATTTCCTGGAATCCCACCTCACAGTGTTTTGTGATTGGCTAGGTTTTTTTAAAAAAGGATTTATTTTATGTTGCTCTGTGCTTTGCCTGCATGTGTGTGCACCACGTGCCTGCAGTGATGAGGGCAGAAGAGGGGAGCAGATCCCCTGAATCCAGAATTACAGATGGCTGTGAGCCACCACATGGGGGCTGGGAACTGAGCCTGGGTTCTCTGCAAGAACAGCAAATGCTCTGAGCCACTCAGTCATCTCTCCATCCTCATTATTGGCTAGTTTTAAAAGAACAGGCACAAAGGAAGTGGAAAAAAGGGGGTGTGGCCAGCTGCTCTGGGCCATGAAGTTCTGGGGGGGGGGGTGCAGGGAGGAGGAACTTTGCTTGAAGAAGAGTTTGGCCCAGGAGGAAGTATGAAAAGATATGCATTAAAGTTTTACAGGTGGGAGACATGTGAAATATTAGCCTTGACTGCCAGCTACCTCCCGCAGAAACAGAAATAAAACATCCCTTACACGTGGGCGGGAGCACCACTTGTCACCTGCGATAAGGGAGTGGAACGTTAACGCTCAGGGTGGAGGAGCCAGGCTCTGTGAATGGTTCTGTCGATGGAAAGTCTAGAAAAGACAAGAACATGCAAGCGGGTTTCTCCAGCCAACTCTCCTGCTTGGCCAGAAGGCCAAAGCTCAGGGGCTGCCCTATCCTGGCTGGAACTAGGACCCAGAGCTAAAGAAACCCTTTAACTATAAATTAACCAGCCCAGGTGCTTACTGTAGCAACGTGAAGCCAACTAAGACATGCTGTGTGTAAAATACCTTTCAAAACAGCTGGCAGAAAAGGTAACCCAGGGTGGAGGCAGCAGTCCCACAGAGGCTGCGGCCACCAGTGCTCCTGAGGGTCAGGTCCCTTAGTGCCTCTCACTTTCCAGGCACGGGGTGGGGGGTCACATTCCTAAGGCTGAGCCACAGGAACTGACAACAAAGCGACTTCGGAGTCCTTTTTCTGCCCCAAGGACTCTACTTCACCCCCTTTTGAGCCCCAAGACCACCAGACTTACCTTCTAAGGACTTGAGAATCCGGTTAACGGCTGAGAGAAAGTTCTAACACCTGAGGGCCTGGCTTCTCTTTGGGAATTAGCTAATAATTACAGAATCCGTGCATTTAATTAGGCAGAAAACAGCCCCTGATAACAATAATTAGCATTTAAATGTCGCTCTTTAACATCAACTTGCATTAAAGGCGTGTTTATTAATTAGACACTTTCCATAGCCCACAGAGACAAGGGGTGGGCTGGTTATTGCTCTAGGCCAGCCTAGAAAGGCCACGCAGTGGGTGTGGGTTTCCCTGAGTCAGGCTTCTCCAGCCTCTGGGTCACTTAGAGACTTGCAGAGAAGGGAGTGAGGAGAAGGGGTGAGGTGGGGCTGATGGTGTAGGGGAAGCAGGTGTGACCAGCCTCTTCCCTCTCTTCAGTGCTTCAGCCATTGTCTGGTTTTGTGACTCCAGGTCTACACACAAGCCCTTCTTTGTCCATGAATCCACAGGATCCTTAGGGGCTCACCTAGTTCAGCACGATGGATTTGCAGAGAGAGTACTGAGCTCAGGAGATGTCAGGACCTTGTGACATTTCTGAACCACAGCAACCCTGATGAGAGTGGGAGAAATGAATTGAGGGTGAAGAAAGAACAGATGGAAAAATAGGGGTTCATCTCCCACAGGACTTGAGCAGGGAGTGTGTAGTGGTTTGAATGAGAAATGTCCCCTATAATTTCAGGCATTTGAAACCTCAGTTCCCAGGAGGTGGTACCATTTGGGGAGTTTTAGGTGATGCAGTCCTGCCAAAGGAAGTAGTCACAAGGTGGGGGGTTGTCACCAGATTGGGGGGGCAGGTATGGTGGGTTTTTTCTTCTTTTTGTCAACAAAAATATAATAGAAAAATTAGGGAAAGAATCTTAATAAGAAAATGCTTACCATCAGTTCTGCCTGTCGGCAGGTCTGTAGGGTATATTCTTAACTAGTGATTGATGGGGAGGGCTCAGCCTATGGTGGGTGGGGCCAATCCTGGATTGGTGGTCCTGGGTTCTATAAGAAAGCAGGCTGAGCAAGCCGTGAGGAACAAGCCAGTGAATAGCACTGTAATGGTCTGTCCTGTCCCTTTAAGAGACAAGCCCTGCCCACTCTCCCATTCCATAAGTGGATCTTTCTTCTGCTTCCAGCCTGTGAGAACTTTCTTCTTTTCCTTCTCTCTCACAAAGAGGTATCTTCTCCTCTCCCCTCCTCCCTGTTTCTCTTCTCTCTCTCTCTCTCTCTCTCTCTCTCTCTCTCAGCCTCTCTCTCCTCATTCCCCTTCTCCCCTTCCCCTCTTTCCCCTCCATAACCCACTAAATAAATACCCACTTTCTCTGCATGGCATGCTTATCAGTCTCTGTCTCTCACCTGCAGTGGTTCCTCATGGGATGAGGGCTCTCACAGGCCGCACAGCTTCCTGCCTGGGACCCACTGCCCCTTGTGGCACATTGCCTTCTGTGGCCCCTGCCCCTCTAGAACCTTCAGTGTTTTATTTTTACCATTTCAAGCACTCCTCCTTGGCTTGTGCATCATTTCCTGCTTCCAGGTTCCTGCCCTGTTTGAGCTCCTGTCCTGACTTCCTTCAATGAGGGAATGTAAAAGTGCAAGCCAAATAAACCCTCCCTCCCCAACTTGCTTTGGTCATGGCCTTGTGTCACAGCAATAGAATGTCAGAGACCAACAAGGATTCTACTTACCAGGGTTGGTGCATGGGGACTAGAAAATAAGTAAAGAGAACGAAGATGCAAGTAAAAATAATAAAAGAGAAAGAGGATAGTACTGGGAGGAAGTTCCAGTGAACACTGAAATCACCCGTGTGTAATTTCCATTTGCTTAAATACCCCAACCCCCAAAAAGTAGGAGTAAGATAAAAAACTGCATTAACACACTTCAAGGAAATGAAAAGACCAGTTGAAGAAACATTCTGTTGCTAGAACAAGATAAGTCATGCTCACACCCTAGACCAAAACATTCTGTAGGCAAACCACTCTCTGGGTGGAATCCAGTGCTATCTCCTTAAAGGAGTAAAAACTTAGTTGGGTCTTGAGACTTTTGTTTGAGGTAGAAACATATCTACTTCTCTATTCCTGAAATACTAGGTCAGCCCATCCTAGCCACACTTGTTAACAATGACCTTGAGAAAGAACTCTGATCTAAATCAAGGTAGGACCTTTGAGGTAGCAACACACAGAAACCTTGAAGGAACAGAAGTAAGTTTCAACTCTCTGACCTTTGGTCAGGGTGGAGTGGATCTACCTCCGTGGGTCATCTTAATGTCCAAAACCACTAAGTAATCACACCCTAGGTCAGGGTGTGTAGCCACAGTTGTTATCAACAACATTGAGCAAGCTGAAACTCTCTGACCTTCAGACAAGGTGGAAGTAGGCTACATTTTTGGGCCTCCATGATAGAAACCCTAACTAGGACACACTCTTCCTCTACTCAGACCTGATTATTCATCTTTGAGATGAATCCTGATTTAAGAATCTGAGTAGGGAACTGGAGTCTGATGAGGGTATAATGACCCCTCAACCCTCCAATCGCTAATGAGTAGTCATAGCTGCTCTGGTTAAGATGGTGATGCCCAGTGGACAGTGTCTGCCACACTGACTAGGGGCAGGGACTTCAGTGTGACCATACCAAAAAGCAGGATACTTGCAACGACGGTTTGAAAAAAATCAGTCAACAGCTGCAACCCTCAGAAGCCAACAATGGAAAATCCAGCAATAGTGGGAAATCCAGGCTTGCATGCCACCATGTGCAAAACACCTGGCTCCATAGCATGTGGAAAGGGGCAGGAGAAGACAGCACATTCAGAGGGGAAGAAGCCGTCCAGTCCTTCATCCGTCTAGTCATCCTCCCGCCCATTCATCCATCCACCCATGACTCATTCACACTCTCGTCCATCCAGCTCAGGCATTCTTCATTTGCTGGTTCACCCTCTTCTCGGCCATTTACTGGTCCATCTGTGCATTCATTGCCACCATCCTGCCCACTCCTCACCAGGGAGCTTCATTTGCCCAGTGCACCCTACAAACGTGTCCAGCCCCGTATCAGTCACTTTTCTGCCGCTGTCATAAACACCGTGACCAAGGAAACTTACAGATGAGCATATTTGGGCTTATGGTTCTGGAGGGATAAGAGGCCGTCGTTGCATGGAAGCATGGCAGCAGGGGGCAGACATGGCAGCCAGAGCAGGAAGCCAAGAGCTCCCATCCTCAACCACAAAGCATAAAGCAGACCAACCAAGCTGGACCTGACTCAGGTTTTTAATCTCAAAGCCCATCATCTCAGGTTTCTATTGCTGTGATAAACACCACGACCAAAAGCAACTAGGGAAGGAAAGGGTTAATCCAGCGTACAGTTCCACATCAGTTTATCATCAAAGGAAGTCAGGATAGGAACTCAAGCAGGGCAGGAACTCGAGGCAGAAGCAGAAGTCATGAAAGGGTACTGCTTACTGGCTTCTTCCCCGTGACTTGCTCAGTCTGCTTTCTAATAGAATCAAGGACCACCATCCACAAAGGGCTGGGCCCTCCCCATAAATCACTAATTAACAAACCCACTGGATGCCAGGCCCTTCATCTGCTCAAACATCTCCTGGGGGGTGGGGAGCTCTATAATAGAGGCAATCAATGGTCAACACTGAAAACAGGGTCCTACTGCTTTAACTCCAAGAGTCTAATTTCCTAATTCAGGCCCCAAGGGATGGATTTATACATTTTTGGATTACTGAGACAGAGTGTCACGTAGCTCAGGCTAACCTTGAGACCACAACAGATCAGGAACTTTTGATCCTTGAACCCCTGATCCTCCTACCTCCATCTCCTGGATCCTGGGATTACAGATGTGTACCACCACACCTGGATTATGTGGTGTTGAGGATAGACTCAGACACTCCACCACCTGAGCTATATCTTCAGCCCCTTAGTGGATTGAAGGACCACAAACAAATTTTTCTTGAAAAGACAATTCATGGCTCTGACTCAACGCCTCCTTCTCAGTCTCTTCCACATATGTTAGTTGGGTGTTTGTGGTTTTTACACTCTTCCTTTTTTACACTCCACCCTAAATTAGTCCTATACCCTCATTTATCATCAGAAAAAGGACCACACCTTCCTTTCTCTCTGGCACATTCTTTTCTATGGACTATGGGGTGGGGGGTGGGGTAGTTTCAACAGGAAAAAATGTTGCAGAAAACCTATGAATCCAAGAATTCTTTCTTGCCTGGCAGTTGTCATGGGAACCTGTAAGTTCCCATGTGCAGCTAAGAACTGGGGGGCATCTGCATGGCTACCCCTGAGCCACTGCACTCAGAGTGTCTTGTGTCCATTTCACTTCACCCGTATGTTCTGTCCACTGTGGCGAGGAGTGACAGTCCTTGCCTCTACCCACTAACATGCCAGCAAAACTGCAGCTGTGGAAGAACCCAACAACACCTCCAGACGTTGCTAAACGCCTGTGTGGGAAGTTGGGGTTTCATTGTGTGAATCCGGGAACCGCAGCTTTGAGAGGCTTCTTATTTCTCAATCTGAGTCCTAGGTAACCTCGGAAAGCCCAGCTGTGTGCCCCACTTCTCCTTCTCTCCTCCTTGGTAGAAAGTCACCCGCAGCACCCCCTCCCCAGTGTCTTGTTGGACCCATGGCTTCCTTCTTCCTCCTGACCTCATGTCTACCCCATGCCTACCATTCAGCACATGATTACATAAGTAGGTTCTCAGGTCAGATGTCTTAGTATTCTGTTGCCTTGAAGAGACACCACAACCAAGGCAACTTGTATGAAAGAAAGCATTTAGCCGGGAGTGATGTGGGATGCCCCTCTGTATGCTATGAATATATTTTTATTACCATTGGTTAATAAAGAAGCTGCTTTGGTCTATGGCAGGGCAGAATATAGCTAGGTGGGAAAGTCAAATTGAATACAGGGAGGAAGAAGGAGGGAGAGGCCAGCAGCCACTGGAAAGCAAGATATACGGTAACAAGCCATGAGCCTCATGGTAAAATATAGACTAATAGAAATGGGGTGATTTAAGTTGTAAGAGCTAGTTAATAATAAGCCTTAGCTAATAGGCCAAACAGTTTGTAATTAATATTAAGCCTCAGAGTGGGTATTTGGGAACTGGTGGATGGTAGAGAAACATCCAGTTAAACAGGAGCTTGCTTACAGTTTCAGAGGGTCAGTTCATGACCATCATGACAGGCATGGTAGCAGGCAAAGAGCTACATCCACAACATAAAGGGACACTGGGACTGGCTTGGGATTTTGAAATCTCAAAGCCCACCCCAAGTAACACACTTCTTCCAACAAGGCCACACCTCCTCATCCTTCTAATCGTTTAAAATGGTGTCATGCTCCCATGACTAAGCATTCAAATAGATGAGCCTATGGGGGCTTTTCTCATTCTAACCACCACACCAGACTTCCTGGGTTCAAAGTCCTCTTCCACCTTCTTTAAGCTGTGCAACCTTGGCCAAACTACCTTCCCTCTCTTAGCCTTCATATCCTGAAATAAAATGGGGGAGGATAAGAGTTCCTTCCTTACAGGGACCTGGGAGTGATTTTGAGATGCTAGCATCTGTCGGCGCACAATTGGTGCTTAGTAACCAGCAGTTACCATCACCATGGGAACCATTATTTCCCATTGTTCCCCTTCTCTGGCCAGCGCCCAGAAGATGGACCTTTCCATCCCTGAACCTCAAATGCTTGAACCCTGTGGGTGCCGGATGTGACAGGATGGGCACATCGTTTTCCACCAGGTGAGTGCTTGTCGCTGCCTGAATCAGGAGATATCTGTAAACAAAGGGAAAAGACTGGAGAGTTCACAGCTTGAGGAGGTATGTGACACATACATGTACACGCACACACACATATACAGTCATATGTAATGTATGAGCACAACTGAGCATACCTTGGTGTGAACACACATAGGCAAACACACATATACACATTATCAACACAAAAGCACAGCTCTCACCTGAAAAAAAGAGTTTATTCTGGAGATAGAGTGACTGTGGCTGGGAACACAGGTTTAAGTCTTCCCAAATTCCATGTCCCAACTAGTAAGCCATTTCATGAAGTTTTTATAGGGACAGAGAAACTCAGCCACAGATGAAGACACTTTCTAAACTCACTGGTGGATGAACCTTGGCTGAAGGCCTCGGTGATGTTTTGATGATACTCAGCTTCCAGGTTGGTGGGAGCTGGGGGGGGAGTCTGCTGAGTTAAAACATCTCAGGATTTACCTGTTAGTCATAGCATGTTAGGGCCAACACAGGCAGTTAAGGAACGGCTATTCAGGGAGCTGGAGGTAGCCCAAAGTGAACTGATCAGGCTCTGGACCTGCAACATTCCCAGCTCCCCGCAGAGCTGCCATTCTGGTGAGTCAACCGGCCTTTGACAACACAGCTTTAGTCTCGTGCACAACACACACAAACACATGCTTTGGGTTCTAACATACTGTCACATCCAAAGGCAAGATCAATGTGGCTGAGGAGAAGCTGATTGTGGTCTGTGTGGTCAGGTTGTCTGGGAGAAGAAGCCTGAATAGAGTCCCATAGACAGTTAGCCATCAGCCACTTCCTCGGAGGAGTGGGAGGTGCCCCCTATGTACATCTGTTCTGTAGCACTGACCAGTTCCCATGTGACATCACTACTTGTGCACAGCTGGCTCTTGGGGACCAGGATGAGGGCTACACTACACGGTTAGCTTTCGGAGTTCAGGTGTGGGGGGTGGTGAGAGCAAAAGAGATCTCAGTGTTTATGGGAGACAGATCCCAGGCAGCAAGGGCTATCTTAGGCCTGCTGTGGGATGGATCCCAGGCAGCAAGGGCTATCTATCTCAGGCCTGTCCTGGTTGCCGACCGAGGCTTCTCTCAGGAGCTTTACTGGAACATCACTCCTTCAGGAGTCCCTGGGCACCTACTGTGTGCTGGGCGCCAAGTGGGGCGACGGCCATAGTCATCAGTGCCACGCCCTTGGGATGATGTGTGAGTGTTCTTTCATATGTGACATAGGCAAGCTTGGAGGACTTCCATACTGCCCCCCCCCCCCACCAGCTCTCATTACTGTGGTCCCTATAGCAGGAAGCTCCAACCTTGGGCCCAATCTGTGGGAAAATAAGGTTCAGAAGATCTGAGATCAGCGGTCATGTCGTGTTCAGGAAGCCTGGGTGGCCATAATGATGGGATGAGTGCCCACCTCAGGCCTCACCAGAGACTTCTCCCTCCAGCCCTTCACTTGGGGACTCATGAAGGTCACCAGCCAGGCTCTGCTCTGCCACTCTGCCGATTCTTCATTCCCTGCAGTCTAGAAGCCCATGCCTCCTAATGCCCCCAAGTCATTTGCATCAATGAGCCGCCTCCCTCAGGGTCTGCCCATTTCAATCAGACACAGTGCTGCCTGTCTGCTGGAGTATTGTGACCACTTCTGAGATGAAAGCCAAGGTGGGGGTGGGGAAACGCCTCGCCATTCCCTCCTCCTCAGGCATCTCCCCTGAATGCTGGCAGATAACAGGCTCACATCTGAAGGAAGCACTAAACTGGCAAAGAGCAATAGATAGATGCGTTGCTGTGTGCACCTCATCCTGCATGCCGTGCTTTTTGGAAAGAGGTGGACATGTTTGTCTCCACTAACAGCTCTGTGCCCTTCATCCCCATGCCTCCTATATCCCTGACTCTTGAACACCAGCCTAGAAGGGGGACCCAGTCTGTCTTTCTAGAACGGAATACCTCTGGACAGATGTGTTCTTTGGAGACCGTCCTTTACAGCTACGCAGGCTGTAATGCATCCAGGCATGTAAAACAACTTGGGAGCAATGATTTAAGGCTCCCTAGCCCTCCGTCCCTCCTTTCCCCTCCCTGCTTTCTCTCTGCCCCCCCCCCCTTCTCTCCAAGTACACCCTTTGCCTCTCCAGCTTCCAAACAGGACTCTGATGGTTTCTGGTTCCAACCCAAGCACTGTCACCAACTTCTGTGCCCCAAAGTGAACAACTTCTTTGAGCATCTCGTGCCTTGGCCACACTCGGGGTGGTTCCAGCCTCCGTGTTTCTCCTTGGAGGAGGGTGGAATGGGAGATCTCTGCATCCTTCTTTATGCTCTCCTACCCCCATCCCTGCTAAGAGAAACCAGAAATCATAGAAAACTTTCCTACCTTCACCTGATCCCCCTATGCTCCCTTCAGTCACAGGATCCCCCTGATGTGAGGGGCTGCTGAGCCTGGGAGCTCCAGACCCTGTCTGCCCTTTTTGTCTTTTCTATCTATCTGTCCTTCAGGTGCTTACCCCAACCCTCTCCACTTTGTCTCTCTCATCCCTCACCCTTCCCAAAGCATCCGACAATGATCTGGTGGTGGAGCACTGTCCCCTCCTGGAGGGACCACAGCAGAGATCACACTGAGGCACTCAGCCTGACATTTGTTCTCTCTTTCCTTCTCTCACTCATTTCCTCCCGTCTTCTTTCTTCCTTTATTCTATTATTGTAATAGCAGAGTTAAGGACAGGGCAGTGCAGCCCCAGCCTGCAGACTCTGTTGCTAAGGAAACCACTTCCTTGGTTACCAGCCTTGGTACATTTGTCTCATGATGCCTGAATCCCACAAAGCCACCCCCACTCTGCAGGATGAGGAGATGGGGTGGGAAAGAGGGAGGAAGGAAGGAGAGAGAAGTTGAGAGCTCCAAGGTCAAGGGGTAGAGATGGAGAGACACTTGCAACAACAATGCAGAGACCAAGTGGATGGTGAGGCCAGAGAAAGGTGGAGGGACAGTCAGGGGCAGGCAGAGAAGAAAGAGGCACCCTAGGCAGCTGGTGGAAATCAGACCGCAAGGAGGGAAACCATGGCTGTAAGAAAAACAGTAAGGAGGAGGAGGGATGAGAAGAAAGAAAACAAAAGAGAGACGTAAAGGAAGAAGGGCTGAGCCTGAGCCAGGGCAGCTTTGGAGGACCTGCCCGTCCCCTGGCTCTCTTCTTCCCTCCCACGCTGGATGTGGCCACCTTCATGGCGCCTGGGAAAACCTGGAATTGATTCCAAGAATCAGCCTTATTCTACTTGAGTCTGGGAGCCACTGTGAGAAGACAGCAGGATCCAGCTTGGATGCCCCCTGCCCTCCCCTCCCTGTACTGGGGACCCATAGCTATTTTTCATGTTGCTTTCCATAGTGAGAGCCTTGGCTCTGAAACTAATCTCTGTGTTGGGGCTCAGCAGTGTCTGCGGCTCACAGGGGTCACCAGAGACCTTACCATCCTCTTCCTCAAATGCTTTCTGATACTTGAAATGACTGCTGGGTACCTGGTAAATGTGAACTCTATAGGGATGGAGGCTTTTAAATCCTCGTTCAGACTCTAAAACAGGGAGCAGGGTGTGTCACACCGACAGTTCATGCTTAGGAAGTATGTGAAGGATGTTTCACGCCGACAGTGCATGCTTAGGAAGTATGTGCAGGGTGAGCCACACCGATAGTGCATGCTTAGGAAGTATGTGTGGGTGATGATCACAGAAGCTACTTTAGTTCCTCCTAAGTCTGAAATAGAAAGATTTGAATGCAAATGGCCACAGGCTGGGCAGATGTTGGCAAGTGCTTTAGCCTAGCTTCACCCCTGGCCATGGCCGGACCATCAGGGAAGAATGGAAGACAGATGCAGCAGGTTCCGTGTGATCCTGAGACAAGAATCCAGGCCAGCTAGATGCTACATGGCTTCCTTCACTGGGAGTGGGTTGGCACAAGTGGCCTCAGGGACATAGAGACTTAGGTTCAAAGCAGTTTATTGGTTCTGGCCACTAGGACTAGTCAAGCCTTGATGTAAGATCACATCAGGGCACACACGGCCAAGGCTAAGACTCCCCCCAAGCCAAGACTCTGACTTAGTCAGCACCAGAGTCAGTCAGGACACAGATTAAGGACCAGTCAAGAGACATCAATTGCATCTGTTTGGGGCAGGTCAGGGATCAGCCTGGGAACATGGTCAGAATGGTCAAAGAACCAGGAGTAGGGTTCAGTATGCATAAAACCAGTCTTGGGACTCAGTCAATGTGGAGTTAGGATAAGGAGTATGGTTAGTCTAAGACTGATCATGGACCAGCATGTGTCTAGGATCATATAAACTGTATCAGGATTTAGGTGCAATCCAGGTACAAGGGTCTAGGTTTGGGTGACCCAGGTTCAAGGGTCTATGTAGATGGAAGTTTCTGTCCTGTCCCATCCCAGGTGACACATGTTCAAGGGTCTAGGTTTGGGTGACCCAGGCTCAAGGGTCTAGGAACGAATACATCTGTGACAGGTAAGAGTTGGCTTACGATTGAGATCTGAGTCAGCCCAGGCCCACATGAACTTACTCACCCAGCATGGCTCTCAGGAGCAGCATTCCCTCCCCCATGACTCTACCACTCAAGTCCTTCTTCTTGTTCCTGTGTTGGGGGCTAGGACTTTGAGTGGGGTGAAGACCCCTCCCCACTGCCAACAAGGCAACATTAAAAGCCCTTTCTCCCTCTGGCTGGGACTGGTCACAGCCCTCCCCAGAGAAGCTGCAGTCTGGTGTGAAAAGCCAGGGTAGAGGTCTGGGGACTGAATGGGCCAACCACAGCATTCTCGGCATCAGAGAGGCTTCCCTGTGTCTTTGTTGTCACTGGCTCCCCTAGTGAAGAGACATGTACAGCTGTCACTCACATATACAGAAGAGACCTCTTAAGAACACGTCTTCCACATCTGTGCACAAGCCCAGAGAATTTCACACCTCAGCCCTTTCTTGGACATTCTCTTCTCTCTCTCTCTCACACACACACCCAAGAAAACGTCTCATCTGTGAGCGCAGCATCTACAACAGGGGCACATGGTAGAATTAGCAACAAAACTCTTTAATGATCGCACTGACCTGAGGAATCTTTGAACAGAAAGTTCGTGACCAGAGGTGGCCACTAGCAAGGAACTGGTCCAGGTTCTGGAGCCAGAGAGAATGACCTCCAAACTGGAGGGGAGAGGTGGTCATCTGCTACCCAGTAAAAGAAAACTAGAAATGAGCCTGGAGGGAAGAAACACCATACAAAATACATTCAGAGCCCTCTGGCCAAGCCCTGGGGTGGTCCAAAGCCTCCAGATGAGGGCACTGGAGAAGGGAAGCAGGTAGAGTCTCTGGCCCTTCCTTTTTGCGTGGCCAGTATCCAAGGGGCAGAATGTCTTGGTCATATTCCTCTTAAAAAAATATATCTCTTTTCATGAACCTTCTCCTGGGTTCCTTGGCTAGCTGGGAATGAGTGTTTGCCCCCAAAGCTGCGGCGGGGGGGAGGGGGGCTGCTCCAGACAGAAGAGCGAGGGGGCTGTGACTATGGCTTTTGTGTCTGTGCAGTGGAAATGATGAAGGTGCGGGCTGGAGGGGAAGCCGCAGGGATCCAAGGTGGGGAGACAGGATCCTGGATGCATGCACTTGAAAACATGACCAGTGACCTAAGTCAGAAATCCTTTGGTTTGGTGTCTCAGCGTCGAGAGCGGTGGTGCTGTGGAAATGGAGGGCCATCCATTACCCCATTTTTAAGGAGTCCCCAGTAGGGACTGGCCCTATTGGGCTATATGCAAGCGAAGGGAGGCTGATGTCTTGGCGAGTAGGGGGCTATTTTGCGTGTGGCGCCTTCTGAGTTGGAGTACTTTTGTGCTCCCCTGGGTAGTAAAGGACTCCCCGGTTAAGGGACTCAGGGGGGCAGTGTAAGATAGACATGTTGGATCCCACCCTGAAAATATGGGCCACTGGGGCTCTGTATTGGGCACATGGCCAACTGCTGGGTTGGTTTTTTGGTACCTAAGGGACTTTGGAAGAAGGATCAAGAATCCCAAAGTCACTCCCAACCCCAAAGACACAGTGTGGGCAGAAAGGACAGAGTTTCAGTCCTGGTGGAACGGTACCCAGCTTGGATCTCACATGTGGGGGCAGCTCCCACGGTGGTGCCAAAGCACCGGTCTTCCTACCTCAGAAGTCAGAATTCTAAGGCCACGGAGACACATACCACACACCTGTCTGTCACACAGAGGAGGCCTGAGAGAGATCAGAAAGCCGGTGCTTGCTCAGGGAAAAAGACAGGAGCCCTCACAGTCAGCTGCAGGGTCACTGCATATAACCGTCTATCAGCTGTCACATTCAGAACCTCCCAACCACTACCGTCTCCATGATAAACATTTCCCCTTCCTCCCCAACATCAGGGATATGGACTCCCCAAACCAGGCAGTCAGGGGAAGGTGCCTGGTTGTCTCCTTCCCAAGCCTCGCAGGGGCCTCTCTGAAGGCAGGCAGAAGCCCGGGGTTGTCTTCATGCCAAAGGGAAGTCAGCTCTTGGAGCCACGGGGGTTGCTGGGTCCCCTCCCTGGCTACCCATCATCTTGGGCCGTAGGCATCGGGCACCCCTGTGAGGTTGCGACTGCGCAGTGCTGTGTCTACCATCCTGATGTAGGCGGCGATGGTCCTGCGCATCTCGGCCGTGTACGGGTCATACTCCAGCTTGCGGAGCCCGGAGCGCTTGAAGTTGCCGTCCTTCTGGCTCTCCACGCACAGCAACCGGTCTTCCCTGACCACCACGCCCAGCAGGCTGACCATTCGGCCCAGCTGGGCAAAGAGGTCCTGCTTGAGATCCTCGAAGTGCACCACTAGTACTGTCTTGCCAAATTTGAGCCAGTCCAGCGTGTGTGTGGCCCACCATGGGGCATAGTTCCTCACGAACTCAGGCCACTCTGCAGAGACAGCAAGGGGTCAGCAGATGACACACCTCCCAGATATCTGAACCCACCTGGAGTGGCATTCCAATTGTATTTTAATAAATAAAACTTGCCTGTAGATCAGAAAAGCAAAATAGCCACTCTGGCCAGCCTTACAGACCAGGCAGTGGTGACACACCTTTAATCCCGGTAGCCACACTAGTTTGCCATGGAAACCAGGTGGTAGTGGTGCACACCCTTGATCCCACAACTGGAGAGATTATAAAACAGGAGGAGACAGCTCTCGGTCTCAGTCTCATTCTGAGGTTTCCCGGAGGCAGGATCGCCATTTTCGGACTGAAGTCAAGATAAGAGCCAGTGGCTGGCTGCTTTGCTTTTCTGGTCTTCAAGTTAAACCCCAATATTGTCTCTGAGTTCTTATTGATCATGCTACACCCACCTGTGATCTCTGGGGTCACACACACTTGACTGGAGCCTGGTTCACTGACCAGACACAGTCAGCCCTATATACAAGGAGACCACAACATGTAAGTAATGCTACCACTATGTGGAGGTGTGGAGATAAGACATGCAGAATTATACAGGAAGGGCTGGGGAGTAGGCCCTTGCTTGCCCAGAACGCTGCAGGCCCCAGGTTTGATCTCAGGAACCAGAGCTCTTAGAAAGAAGCTGCATCTTCAGACCCTGACTGATTAGAACGGCAGCACCATGGAGAGGTGGGATGTGTAGGAGCAAATTACCTTCCCTTGGACTAGTTCTAGCTCCTTGGAACCGCCATTCCTTGCCCACCCCTGCATCAGAACTAACTCCCCTAACCAGCAGACAGAAACCCTTTGGAATCCATTAACTTAGCAGATCACTAGTTTCCTGCAATTCAGAAACTAAGACCGCCATCATATAGCTTCTTGGTCTACAGCAAGGTCTCGCTGTACCCGCCTCTCTGATGGACCCACCAATGCATTTAAACTTGCCTTGATTCAGGCTTTATCTGTCCTGTAAAACTATAAAAACTTCATGAAACTGCTTCCATGTTGGAACATGGAATTTGGGGTAACCTCAATCTGTGTTTCTGAGCCATGGTCACTCAAAGTGACTCCAGAATAAACGAGCTCATCTTTCCTTTAAGATGCGAGCTGTAGTTTTTGTGTCAACAGATATGGTGACATGCGGCGTTCTAAAAATGGTTCGCTTTTCACAGAGGAACTGCCTGAATGGAAGCCAGGTACCTGCATGCATCCCGTGAGCCCTGGCCATCTGGTGTGATTTCCTCAGGTGGGTCGTTGGTGAGCTCTTTCCTTGGTTTTGTGGACAGTCTATTTGTCGACCCTGAGCTGGTTAAAAGACCATATTTCGATAGCAATCTCTTTAGTCTGCTTTCAGAATATTTGCTTTGCGGTTATCTGTTTGTTTGTTTGTTTGAAAGCATTTTGTTCTAATATTTGGTTTGGTTTGCTTGCTTGCATTCAGAATTCTAAAGGCAATTTAGATTCTGCTATTTGGCTCCTTTTCAGTATTTTATCTGCTTCTGAGACTTTGAAGGCATTTTAGTTTCTGTTTTGTTGTGGTTTTTCTTGTCCTTGAAATGTTTATATCACTTGACCTTTGCTTCCTGACATTTGACCTTTGCTTCCTGATGTTCCTCAAATGCTTAATTCTGCCTTTTTTTCTGCTACTTCTCCTGTGACCTTGTCAAACCTTTAGCTTAGGAGTTTTATGATAGGGACACTGAAGGGGAGAGGCACTTGTTCGCCCCCACCCCAAACCACACTACAGAGTTAGGCGTCAGGGGGAATGCCTCGCTGTGTGCAACAGCCTCAAGGGAACTCAGCAAATGTGCCTATTCTGGGTCAGAAGACATTTCACTGGCTCGTCCGTCTGCCTGGGAAGACACCGGTTTGTTCACCTAGAGTCTTGAGCGCCCTCACGCTTATGTAACATGTAAGGAAGACCCAGTAGGAGAAGTTGGTTTCAGGGTAAAAGCTGAGAAAGCCTTTGCCAAAAGCAGCACAGAAAACTGACCAAAACCACATAGTCTCTAGCTAGTACAGATGGGTAACTTCTCAGAATAGAAAAAGAAAGAGAATATATATATATATATATATATATAAGGCGGCAATGAGGTTTCCACAGAGGGGGAACTGCCTGGAGGTAAATGGCCATCTGCCTTTCCAGCAGCTCTAGGAGTGATAATTGCTGACTAACTTGCAAGTGTTTGGAAAAAACACACTAAAGATAACCCAAACAGTTACCTCCAGAGTAGGAGGCAATAAAAGCAAAGTCCTAGGCAAAAATCACAAACAGGCAGCTGGCTTTAACTGAGATGTAAAATGATCTCCCAAAACTGATCAAGTAGGCAATTCATAACAAATAGCTCTTAAGCCAGAGGAGTTAAAGTAGATGCTAAAATAAAAAATTAATAAAAACTTTTGGGAGGTTTATGTCAAAGGTCAATTCTGAGATAGCTCTCCTCTCCTCCCTCTTCCCCCACCCTTCCCCCTCTTTTCCCTCTTCCTCCCTTTTCCCCTCCTTTTTCTCTGGTCTGCTCATCGTGGCCTCCTACCTTACCTTCTCTTGAGCAGCTTTGTTCCCTTTAACTCCCACGCTTATATCAACATGTCTTAACCAGCTCTAAAAGTCCTTTTGGCCTTAAAACCCCAAATCTCAGCTTGGACTGAGCTTAGGGGATCACGTCAGACTATTAAAGATAACCAAATGCATCTGTCTGTGTCCCCTCTGCAGCAATCCTGGGGACTTATCCTGAGCCCCATCTTCAAGCATCTTGGGGAGTTTCCCTGTTTGCTATCTTGACCTGTCAATCCTCCTAAACATGGGGTTCTGGGTCCCTCTTATCTAACAAGAAACTCTCTAAATGTTTAAGTGCCACCGACACCAACGGTAGACATTTCCCAGAGCCACCAGCTCTGCTACTGGGTCACATGTGGCTTTTTCAGGAGAACTTCATCATCAAAACTGATCCCCGGAGTAACCAGTCTATTAGAAATCACTCTCAAGAGATACATGTGTCTCAGCTGACTGTCACTATTGAAGCCATGGAACCTCAGGACATAGGAGTTCCCCAGAAATCTCATGTTGGGAGTGGGAAGGGCACCAGCTGGAGGGGGACCTTGTCTCCCTGATTTCAAACAGTTCTAGCAACTTTTCTAATCCCTCAGAGAGACTGAAGCCTGATGACGGCACCACCTCCACCAGGTCTGATTAGTCTTGCATAGCCTCAGCCCTCTATACACTGACCTCACTCCAGGTCCCGAGACAAACTTGCAGGTTTGATGGATCTTACTGTCTCCCTTCCCAGTGTTGATCACACGACTAAATCTCCTTTTTGTCCATTCCACTTTTCATTTGGCTCTTTTAATGGTCTCAAATCTTTTTTTTTTGTGGGGGGGCAACTAACGTGAGTTTTTAGATTAAAAAAAATTAAATCTGCTTTTAAGAACAAGATGTGATCTCCTGATTCTTAACCCAGTCTGGTTTACAACATGGACCCTAACCCTCGAGGGTGGAAAGTAACTGTATGATGCTCCTTCTCTAGGATATGTTTTTCCCAGTGAACAACCGCCACCCTCGGCACACTAAACTCTAGCCCATAGACTAACAGGCTAACTCACACCTGTGCTTTCAGTAGGTCTCCTTCACATGTGTTTGTATGTGCACCAACATTTCAAGGGTGCTTTTGAGCAGCGCTGCCTCTTTAAAAATAAACGAGGGGATGAGCAGGGTTTTAAGCAGGGTTGCGTACCTTGGCAAGGCCAATGGAAGAGAAAACCCTACATTTGTATTTTTTGAATTGTCATTTTAAAAACTTACTTTGAGGTTTGCATAGATATCTTAGAGTTATAGATCATCTTAATGAGTTACACCATAGTTCAGAATGTAACAGAATTATTCAACTCTGTTTCTAATTAAAAAGAAAAATAAAATCATGAATGCTGAGCTCTGTCCCAGTCTTTTTTTTTTTAAAATATTTATTGATTTATTATGTATACAATATTCTGTCTGTGTGTATGCCTGAAGACCAGAAGAGGGCACCAGACCTTATCACAGATGGTTGTGAGCCACCATGTGGTTGCTGGGAATTGAACTCAGGACCTTTGGAAGAGCAGGCAATGCTCTTAACCTCTGAGCCATCTCTCCAGCCCCTCTGTCCCAGTCTTTACGCCTTATACTTTTGGTGACTAAAAAAAAAGGAAAGGCTTTTGCCAGCAAAGACAACAGAAACCTCACACACATAAAAGCAAAACACTTCAAAGTACCTGCTATAGCGACTTTACTCTTTAACAGATACTTAATTTAAATTTGCTTAAGTAAACCAAAGCTAATATACTTTACCTGTATTAATGACTATTGAATATTTAATATACCATATTTTGTTTTATATTACAGCCTCCTGAACTTACTTTAAAAATTACCTCATTAAATTTTTTCTAAGATAGGCATGGTGGCGCAAACCTTTAATCCCAGCACCAGAGAAAGGCAGATCTCTGAGTTCGAGGTCAGCCTGGTCTACAGAGTGAGTTCCAGGACAGCCAAGACCTCATAGAGAAACTCTGCCTCAAAAAAACAAAGAAAAAATTCTTTTCTAAATTTTGTAATAACAATAATAATAAGATCAAAATATGTTGCAAAAGGATTGTTTGAAATGGATATGGTTATAATGAGGCTAAAATAACACTGAAGTTATAAAACTTAGAAGTCAATCAGTGCCCTGAGATAAAACTGATGCTTAATTCTCTACAATGCTTTAATTATTGATTTGTTTTTAGTAATGTTTACCCCCTCTCCAAAAAAAAAAAAAAAACACTTAAAACAACACAATCCTTTGTTTAGCCTTCGACTTAAATGGACATTTAAAACCTTTGATTAAATGTTTTCCCACTGAAGAAAGCGTTTGTGTTTTGAATAGTTAGTCATTATTTAATCATTAAAAAGCAATCTGTTTATAGTCTTATACCTATCTAGAATATACTTACTAAATTCAGTAATGGTTGTAAAACTTTTAAAAGAACAAATATTTAAATCTGTTTACACAGTTTGGTCTACTAACTAATGAGCAACACAGAGTATTAAAAGTTTTTTAAGTAGGGTAACTAAATTCAAATTAGTCACAGACTCTCCCTCAAAGGGTAAAGACAACCAAACAGTTTCATCAACTGAAAGGAAAAAGACACATAGCAAAGACTCCATTCTGTGTCCAGGTCCTTCTGACTCACCCCTGGAGACTATACTCTGCAAATTATATAACAGTTATATAAAATAGATTTTGTTTTGTTTTGTTTTGTTTGAGACAGGGTTTCCCTGTATGGAACTCACTCTGTAGACTAGGCTGGCCTTGAACTCGGAGATCCACCTGCCTCTGCCTCCTGAGCGTTTGGGTTAAAGGTGTGCACCCCCATACCTGGCTTTATAAAATAGATTAATATTATATAAGATTTATGTAAATACAGTCATACCATAGGGCTATAATTTCCACCAATATAGTAATTATAAAGGGGCATTGCTGGATGGTAATTGTGTTTTCACCATGTTGACATAGGCAGGAGTTAGCTCTACTCAGTTCTCACAGGTCCGTGTCATGGTGGTCATCATTTAACAGAAGAGGAAACCAAAGGCAGAGAGTGGGCGAGCCAAGGTCACTCAATGAGCCACAGAGCAGGACCTGGGAGACGTGGCTGCAGAATGTGGGTCTTTTGCTACCATTAAGCAATGACAGCCTGCTCACAGGGAGTGGTGGCTGCGTACAGGGAGTGGTGGCTGCGTACAGGGAGTGGTGACTGTGTACAGGGAGTGGGGGCTGTGTACAGGGAGTGGTGGCTGTATACAGGGAGTGTGGGCTGTGTACAGAGTGTGGTGGGCTGTGTACAGGGAGTGGGGGCTGTGTACAGGGAGTGATGGCTGTGTACAGGGAGTGGTGGCTGTGTACAGGGAGTGATGGCTGTGTACAGGGCATGGGGGCTGTGCACAGGGAGTGGTGGGCTGTGTACAGAGTGTGGCCAGAGCCCAGGGCAGTGGGGGATGGCTGAGGAGGTGGGGGGTGGAGGTGGGGACAGACTGTCAGCACCCTGACCTAGCCCTGCAGCTGTGCAATAAGCATGTCTACTCTCCTCCTTGCTGTGGCTCAGGAAGTCATCCTGCTGGCTCCCAGGGCTCAGGCCTCCTTCGGGCTCTGCAGGCCCAATTCTTCCTCCTGACCACACAGTGAGTCATTACTGTGTGGTCACCCTGCTTACGCATCTGTCTCCACCGCCCACTGAGCCCGTGGGGATGGTTTAAACAGGATTGTTAATCTTGATTGTGTGGTCTCTCTACTCTTTATTTAAGCTGTCACGAACTGTCTCTTTGGGGGGCTCATCAGCCATCTTGCCATGGCATAGAAAGTCATGGGAGGGTGCCTATGGGGTTGCCTGACTTGAGAGGCAGGTTACCTGGAGCACTGCAGGCAGGTTACATAGAGCACTGCAGGCAGGTTACACGGAGCACTGCAGGCAGGCTACATGGAGCACTCCTTGGGTAGTTGTAGAGCAAGCAAATGAGAAGAGCTGCTGAGGCTCAGGTGGGAGGGAAGTCGGGAGACTGCCCAAGATGGGCACTGGGATGCTGGGATCAGCATCAGCCCCAACTCAGCTGGAAAACACCAAGGAGGCACTGAAGGCTCAATGGTTGATAGCGCAGCACCCCCTCCAGTATGGGCAGCACATGACAGACCAGTGAGTCTCTCAAGCTAGGTGGGGGACCTTAAAATCCTCCTAGATGCTCTGAAAGGAAAAGACTATAGTGCGTCTGTTACCAGGAAGGAGGCTAAGGCTCAGACAAGTGAAGTGACTTGGTCAAGGTCACGCAGCAGGGAAATACCATCCAATCCAGCCTGCCTCACTCTGGCCCAGATCCTCTCCAGACATCAGCAGCCTAATCCTGGCTTCCTCCCACAGCCTGGTACCCAGCAGGAGCTGGGGGTAACCGCTGCTGAACTAAATTGAAATTCCAACTGCTAAATTGCTCCGCGATAAAAGGCTGCTTTTCTTGACGGAAGCTGTCCTGAGATGCCTCTCTTCCGGTCCCCTCCTGGAACCCCACGGCTACTTGGGAAATATTTATGCTGGCGACAGGTTATTTTTTATTCCTAAAATAGATTATTCACAAGGCAGCTGACTAATTGGGCCCGTACTGTTATAATGGGCTAGGACCAGATGTATTTGGATGATTGGGAAACTTTAAGTACGCATGGGGGCTCCTTCCCTTAGTCAGCCTCTTTCCCACTCTGGAGTCACCTCCCAGCATCCTTAGTGACTCAGGACAGCTACTGCAGGAGAAACCCAGGTGAGGCTGGCCTTTGTCATCTAGCGCCCACAGGTCTAGACTTCAGGTGTGGCTCCGTGTGACCATCTTGAAGCCATTTGCCTGTGTGTCTTCCGATCGCTCCACCTGCACTATCCCGAGGAAGCTGCCTGTCTATCGGCTGTGTCCATCCTTCACCTCGGCTGCTGGCTAACACACAGCTGTCCACGGATGACTTTCCAGCCGGGTGGCTGGGCTGGGAACCCACACTGGGTGACCTTGGAGGTGCTGCTTGCTCGCTCCTTGAGCGGCATCCCTAACCTCTCAGGCTAATAAGCTTTGCAAAGGTCCCAATGAGGTACCAGGTATAAATGCTACCTATGACCATCCTTGCTGATGTCAGCACTTAGCTTTTCCTGAGACAACCCCCACGTGCCCCATCCTGCTGGTCCGACTTTCCCTCCCAAGGCTTAGCAGCACCCTAAGCTGTTCTGAGCTCTTCCATATCGGATGTTTGCCCACACTCTCCAACCCTTCACCTCTCAAAGCCCCCAAATGACTCCTCTGCAAAGAAGAATAGAAATGGAAACAAAAGCCCTCCCTAGCTCAGAGCTCCTGGTAACTGATTAGCACCCACAAATCCGGAAACAAAGGCACCCCGGGGAGCCAAGACCACACAGATGTGCCTGGCTGCACACTGTGCAGAGGTCTCCTGCTTCATCTTCCGTTGTCAGGAGAGAGCAAGCCCTGATGAATGGCTGCTCGGTGCCAGTTCCCCACGGAATCGTTAAACACAGGATCTGTTTCATTACACGGATCCAGGACAATTCACCTTGTGTAATCATATCACAGAAAATTTTGCCTTGGTCCTGCTCCAGAGGGGCTGTAAAATTAACGTTATGGAACCAAAGTTTGGGGGTGGGGAGGCTTATCTCCACCTAATTAGGAGGGGGCAGTGCTATGGTGACTGGATGCACACAGCGGCTGTGGGGTCTCCCCTCCCAGATAGCCCCCCCACCTTACATCAAGGGTGTCCCAAAGCAGTTCTTAAGCTTGTGAGAACACTGGAGCCCCTGAGAAATCTGCTTGGACACAGACTCTGAAGTATCCAAGGTGCCATTGGTCCCGGCCACCCCTGAACAGGAAGGGTTTAAGGCAGTGGCACTTAAGTTGGCGTGTGTATCAGGAAGGTCCCCAGAGGCTGGTAAAAATGCAGCGTTTCTGGGTGGGCAGCTCTGGGGTGGAGTCTGGTAACTGGCCTTGCTAATGAGTCCCCCAGTTGTCCTGGAACATAGGGTGTCAAAGAAGAGGGCTGGGTAGGTGGAGCTTGGGGGCTCTTGACCTGAGGAGTTGATGGAGCTAGTCTGTCCCCAGTAGGAGGTGAGTCTGGACCAATCCCCCACAAACCCTCTGTTGGTTCAGCCCTGACTCAGCACTGACCTAAAGGGCCCAGGTGTCCAAAGAAGGAAACAGAGCAGATGAGGCGGCTGCTGGGGGAGTAAATGTCTCTGGACATGGAGGCTGGCGTGTGCGTGTGTGTGCATGCGTGCGTATGCGTGTGTGCGTGCGTGTGTGTGTGCGCGTGTGTAAATCAATGCCTGTGTTGGAATCCCAGCTCAGCAGCACGCAGGGTGCTAACCAATCTCCGTTTACCCTGCTACAGGAACCACAGGGGTGGCTCAGTGATGAGTTGGGGGCCACACTCCCCAATTCCCCTCTTCTCTCAGATCCCAGGAGGTCCAGGAAGAGGAGAGCTGGACAGCTTGGCCACTGGGCATCCCAGTGACCTTAGTGGTCTCTATCTCTCTGGGCCTCACTTAGTGGTCACCTCTCTGGGCCTCACTTTTCTCAGGGTCCTCAGGGCAGATGCTGGGTCCATGTTCCAGCCTCGGCCTGCTTGCTAGCACAAGCCTCTCACACAGCCAGGGAAGAACTGTCAAACCTGCTTCACCTTGTCACGCCCAGTGGGGTGACACTAACAAGCCTCCAAGCCCTCTGAACCTTGTGGGTTGGAGCTGTTGGGTGGCTTCACACAGCTGTAGGGTCTAACCGACATGGAGGGAGGGGCTGGACACAGGCCATGTGGTACCCAGAGAAGGACCCACAAACTTGTGGCCATCAGTGCCATCTGGATCTCACCAGCAGTCTCTACCACCATGATGAGAACCATAGCTGGTGAGTAGAGAAAGGATACCTTCTAGATCCTTGCACCCCACTATTTTCTCATCTCCCTAAGTCCAGAAAATTAGAGCTATTCAAGAAAGTGTAAGGGCTGGGAGTCCCCTTACAAAGGAGTTCCTCTGCAAAGTCTGAATCCTTAGCTCCTGGGCTACATAGCTGGTATTTTGGGTGTGGCTCCATGGAGCCTTAGCCACCAGTGCTGCTCTGCACAAGCTAAACTCTGAAGAGTTTCCTGCTGGCCACTCTGCACCCCACACCACCCCAGGCCTGGCTTGTCACCCCATGCTGGCCACCCTGCACCCCACACTGCCCCAGGCCTGTCACCCCATGCTGGCCACCCTGTACCCCACACCACCCCAGGCTCTCCCTCCTGTACCTTTGCCTTTCCAGTGGGCATGGGCAGCAAATCCTATGTGGCCTCCATACTTGCGATTGAACTCAGCCATGAGGGCCTTGTAGGGGTTTCGGATGAGCAGAATAGCTGCATCAAAGGCTTCAATCTCCTTCTGGCCACTCTCATGGGTCTTGATGCAGATGGTCCGCCCACTGCGCCAGTGGTCTCGCTCACCTTTGAACCCTGTCCCCAACCCCAGGCAAGAAGTCAGAAGCTGGTGAGAGGAGAGGCAGGAAGCACATACCATTCCTTCCACACCCCCTCTCAGCATTCCTCACTCTCTTGATTCAGGGATTCCTTCCTGTGTATTCTGAGCACCCACGGTACTGAACATCATGACAGAAGCTGAGCAGAGCCTTCCGGCTTCTGAGAGCGGCGTCTGGTAACCCAGGCTGCAGGAACTGAAAGTCACAGCCACTGTCAGTCAGTGCAGCAGGACAGGAGCAGGCCTGGGAGGGATCAAGCTGGGTGGTTCTGTTTTGGACCTGGGCTACACCTTCACCTTCTGAGGTACAGACATGGCCCTAGCCTTCTGGGTAGAGATGCTTAATTTGAGAACCGAAGGTTGAAGAGGAACCGGCTAACCCAAGGCAAGAAAGGATAGGGACCACAGATACCAAAGACCTGGGGTGACTGATAGGGAACACTGTAAGGTGGTGGCAGAGAACAGGGAGCTAGAGAGGGCCGTGGGAGTCCTGATGCACTCAGAGGCACCAAACTGAGGCTCCCAAGCCTGTGTCCTTACCCCTCAGGATTCCCATGCTCTGAGCTGAGGCATTGGGGACAAGGTCAAGTGTGGCCTTCATGCTATTCCTAAGACAGCGAGTGACCCCCGACACACAGTCTCTGGGCCTCAGTTTCTCCATCTGCACCTTTGTGAGAAACTGGCGAGGCACACAGCACGAGGACTCTGTCCTGGGGACTGAGCTGCTCCCTATCCCCCTTCCCTGTAATTATGGACTGAACGAGCCAAAACACATCCTCCTTTATACTGTTTTTGTTAGGATTTCTGCCACAGAAACAGAAGCCACAGAAAGTCCTGGGCTAAGAGGTCCCGGGACCTAGCAGGCTGTGGGGAACGGTGTCTTCCTGCTCAGCCTATGTCTAAAAGCTTACATACAGCTTTTAAAGTGGATGGAGGTAAGGTCTGGCATGTCACCTGATCCTGTTCTAGGGGTCCAGAGAGTCGTGGCCGCCCTCCTAGGGCCTCTGGGCAGAAGAGACAGGAGTGGGCTGCCCTTTCCCGAGTCATGCTGTACCCTTGGGCTGCTTGGGCCGAGCCTGGGATTAGACCAGCCTTGCAAATTTGGGCTGGCTCATACCTGTGACAAGATAAACGGTTTTGGGGGGTTCTCTGTGGCACAGTATCCTGAAGCACGGAGAATGAGGCTTGGGAAAGAGAACGGGAAGTTCATCATGCACACCCCAGCTAAATGCCATGGCACACGTCCCATGGGTGGGATGCTGTACAGCCCACCTGTATTTCATTCTGTGGCTTCCCACCTGTGGCTTCATTCTCTCTTCACTGAAATCCATTTTTATTACAGGCCCAGCAATGGGCAGATGCAGGTGGCATACAAGAACCCACACGCTCTCAGAGGAGAAAATGTCCTCAGAAACATGGCATTCCAGATATAATGGCAATCCCCATGCCCAGGAGCTGAAGCTGATGGACTGGCATTGCCACAAGATGCCACGAAGCCATCCTGGTTATAGTGTGGCCCCCATCTCCAGAAACCAAACCCAACAAAATAGTAATGGAAACTTCCTAATTCCTTACACAAGGCATCATGATGTCATCAACAGGGATAGTATGGAAAGTGACCTCCCTGTCTTGGGAGACCTGAGATGCTGTCTCTTTGAGTCCCTTGGGGAGCTGGCCTGTGGACGGGGTGGGGTTGGGTGGAATGCGTTCCAGAAAGAAGCTTCAGGAAGACGATGGGCTAGGCTAGGCGGTCCTGAGGAACATTGCTCAATTGACAGTCACAGGGAATTGCTGAATTCCACCACCAGAGGCCCCCCTTCTGCACCCCTCTTTCTACAGGACCCGGCACCACCATTACACAAGTGTGGCATATTTAAATATCACTTTCCAGAGTCAACACAGGGATCTACTTATTTGGGGAGCATGTGACCCTCGGGCTCTAAGGAGCCACCAGGAAATTGTTTTAAGGCATGGGCTCAGAGCTGCAGGAAAAAAACCTTGTACACACACACACACACACACACACACACACACGCACAGACACACACGCACAGAGACATACATACACAAACACACAACACATACATACACACATATATACACATACACAATGTTTTCTCTTGTCTCTCTCTGTCACACTTTACACTACCAATATTACAGATTGTGTGTGCCTTGCATCACAGTGTCCCCAAGGTCCCCTCCTGGCACTATCTGGTCATGAAAGAACATGACCAGAAAATCTCTGATGCCAACTCCCCACGTTCCAGATGAAGAGCCCAAGGCTCAGGAGTGTGAGGCTCTGAGCCCAGGCCCTGTTTACAAAGTGCTGTGAACTTTCAGACTGACGGCCCCTTCGCTCTCTGATGCCAGGAGGGAGTTGGTAGAGGAACAGTACCAGGTGTCTAGGCAGCTGCTTCCCTTCCCTCCTTCAAACCTCTGAGGGCAAACAGAACCTCAGAATCCATCTTAACATGCCTTAGCAAAGTGGGGTCCACTTAACTTGACACAGGAGATGAAACCATGTTAGATCTCTGACCTCAATGATCCTACAGACACCCTTCCCTGAGGGTGGAGCCTACCTGAGACCGTCTGACCTGTCCCCAGCCACCAGCACATAAAGGTAACACAGCACAGATTCTGCTGAGGGTCTGAGTTCACATCCTGACAGTCACTCACTCACACATAGGAGGTGCTAAGTAGCTGAGTACAGAAACCCAAATCAAATACAGAGAACTGGGATCCAAAGGTCCAGGCCCTGTGTGCTCCTTTGTGTTTGTCAATAACACAACTTTGGGACATTCAGGGAGAGGGAACCCCAGCTCAGAAATTCCCTCCATCAGATTGGACTGTGGGGCATTGTTTTGATTAATACTTTATGTGAGAAGGCCCAGCCCACTGTGGGTTCTATAAGAAAACGGGCTGAGCAGCCATGAGGAACAAGCCAGTAAGCAGCACCCTCCATGGCCTCTGCATCGGCTCCTGTCTCCAGGATCCTGCCCTGCCTGAGCTCCTGTCCTGACTTCCTGCACTGGCAGACCATCTGACCTGGGGTTGGGAGATCAAATAAACCCGGTCCCCTCTGCATTGGCTTTGGACAGTGTTCATCAGTCAACTGAGCCCTCCAGCACCCGCACAGGCTCCAACCTTCCACCCCACCCTCCTCACCTCTTCACTCTCTGCTTCTCATCCTGGGAGATGCTGCTGCCTAGCTTTCCTTAGCCGTGCCTGGCACCCAAGCCATAAGAGCAGAGCTTATTTCCCGTGTGCCGGGCTTGTTACATGCATCAACGTGTTCACTTTTATCTCACGATCACGAGGCACAAACTGTTAGCTGTAGTAGGCGCATGATCACAGGACCAGAGAGCTGCAGCAGTGTGCCCAAGGCCACACAGCCAGGAAGTGTTCCTCCACTAAAACAGACACAAAGCCGCAACCGAGGGCTGTGCACACATAGACATAAAACCCATATAGAGGAGGGCATTTCATGTCCAGTGCCACCCATGATTTCTAGTCCCCCAGTGAGAAGCCCGAGAGTGACATGGACATGAGAATGAAATCAGGAAACAGCTGGGCACATTTGAAAAAAAATGGTGATTCTGGGGCCAGGTATTTCCCCCTTTGTCAGCCTCCGCTTTCACATCTGGAGTCAAGTCACAGGGTATCCGGAGGTGGCTGAACTCCCCTGAGACTCCTGCCCACAGTTGGTGCTCCCTAAATGCATCTGGAAAACCACACAAGGGAAGCCAATTTCTAATATAATGGTGCCCAGGAAAACACAGTGAACAACATCAAAACAAAGCATGGCATCCAGCAAATACTGTGGGTGAGGAGCCTGGCAAAGAGTTGGTACTCAATAAGTGCCCTGATGTAAACACAGTTATTATACTTCTACTGATAGCACAGAGCTGTTACTCAGTATCTGTGGTAAGCTCCGCAGCAGGTGCTTAAGAAATGGTCGTGGCAACCTAAGTGGAGGAGAGTTAACCAGCACAGTAACTAACAGTACTTAGTAATTAATAATTTACTAACAGTACTTAATAGATGCCAACTAGTCAGCAGGCTCAGGACACACGGCATGTGTGCGTCAAACATAAAAGGGAGGACCGCCAGAGCACACAGCAGGCCTTGATGGACAAGCCCCGGTGTGCTGAGTGGTGCAGGATATCCCTCTCACCTTCCACCCCCTCACCTTTGTTGTACAGAGAGCCATCGAAGTAGTAACTGCCGGTGTAGAAGCCAGTGGCCAGCTCAATGAGATGGCGGGCCCACGTGTTGCCGGCGCCCGGGAAGCTGGCGAGTGCGATGAGCTTCTTAGACTTGGCTGGGAGGAACCTTCTGTCCATGCACCGATTGTCTGCAGGAGGACAGACAGACAGGTCAGCACAGTACGCCCCGGAGACATGGTCATACACGGAAGAGGACTCTATGTGCTGTGTCCGACAGGAGGATAAGCCTCCTCTCCATTCTCAGCCATCCCTCCCAGCTAGAAAGTCTCTCACAGTGAATCGGCTGCCCAGGTGCAACTTGACCTTCAACTTGATGGGGCTGAGGGCCCTGCCCACGGGGACCCAGCCCACACACTGTAGTCCTTACCTAGCCAGAAGGTTCTCTGGTCTCTTTTGTGCTTAGAGGGTCAAGGGTCATCAAGTGATCATGGGCCACCACACTTAAAAGGTGCCTCTCCTTCTATGGAAATGGGACTTAAAAGAAATCCCAATCAATTGTTGCATTGTAATTAAGGATTGCCATTAGGGACCACACTTCCTTCAGAGTGACAGGGGACAAGGGGTGGAGAGAAGTGTAACTCAGTTAAAATAGTACTAGGGGGCAAACGGGAGCCTGTGGCTGGGCCCTGGGCAGTAATTTACTTCTTTTCATAACAAAAGCTTAGCTGTGGGGGTGGGACACAGAACCTATCCCTTAATTTCCCACTAAACAGAATTCTCCACACAAACCTTCCTGGGAGGTCATGGGCTGGCTCTGCGGTTAGGGCTGTTTTTTCAGTGTTAAAATTTATTTTGTTTCATTGGTTCTGAAGCCCCATAAACCAAGGCAGGAGCTGCAAGCTGTGTTTTCTTGACCCTGGGAACGGCAGACCCAACTGTCCAGCCTTTACACTGGGTTTCACCTCCCTGGAGCACACTCTCCTCACTTCTGACCGCTCAGAGAGGAGTGTCAGCATGCCTGTGAGAAGCCACAGTTAGGAGTGAAGTCTGAGATCCTCATCACCGGGCTTTGAACCCCATCTCTGCCCTGCTCCAGCTGTGTGGCTCTGGCCACACTGCTCGACCTCTCTGCATTCATTTGTAAGGTGGTCACCACAGCAAGCATGTCATGGGGGCACTGGAGGGTTCATTGGGCTAAGGTGGTCAGGAGCATTCATGGTGCTGAGCACACAGGTGCTGTTAGTTCCCACCAGGACCACAGGGCTTATCGTACAGGAGAACCATGGTGGACCAAAATCTGGGCAGTTTACGAAATCTCTGGTGCACACCTCTCCTCAGGGTGGAGGATCTGCTCGAGGGCCTTGGGCAGTCTGGGGTAGTTTGCTGGGATGAGAGCAGAGATGCTATCTGCTGTAGAAGAGCCATCAGCATCCAGCAGGGCCTCAGCAAAGTCACTCACAGTCACAGTGCAGACAGTCTGTGTAAGACTCTGTCCTCCAGGCCAGGGCCATGCATCCCAGAAACCAGCACACTCCTTCACCCTCACTGGACTGTAAACGAGCGGTGGGATTGCCTGCTAGGGACCGACCACCAGACACTTGTACAGGATTGCTATACAAATCACAAACAGGAATCTGCCACTTCCCTCTAGGGTGCTGGCATGCGAGAGCACAGACTGTCTTGCATGCACTTTTGCTGTGGACACACTTATGCAGTGTCCAGGAGCCTGTCTGTCTATGCATTGTTGCTAGGAGGTAATCTGCCTGGAGATGCACTATTTGCTCTCCAGACTCCAGATGGCTTGGGGATGTTCTTTCCATTGTGAGCTGAGGATTCTAGCATGGTCTCAGGAGTCATCTCTGAAGGCACACTGCTCTCATATGTAGGATTATGGCCAATTCCCTAACCCTCTACTATCTGTAAAATGGGCACAGCTCTGCTCATTGGCTAATTATGGCCTTTATATCACAGGGTGGGCTGAGGCTTAGCCTGAGGCTGGTGCACAGTGGATGGCCAGAATATCTATGCTGGTATATATCCAGGGGTTTCCTTAGGCTTTGTTCCAGCGTGAGTACCCAACCCCACACCCACTTCACTTTGAGATGCCCCATCCAGGAATAAAGGTTTATAATCTGTCTGCAGCAAGTCCCTCAGCTAGTCTGATGCTCACTTTCCCAGGGAAGGAGGAATGACCATTGATCCCACCTGTGGGGGACAGCTGTGGGGAGGGAAGTATATATGAAGGCCTTAGCACTGAGCCTGGAGTGGAGTAAGGCCCAAGAAACTCATTATGCCATCTCATCACCAATTTAATCATCACCCTCATTACTATCGTCATCACCATAATCAAACCACACCATGATCAGAACCACTGCCTTCATTACCAATATCACCACCATCATCACCACCACTGTCACTACCATCACCACCACCATCATTATCATCATTATCCCAGCTTGCTTCTCTGTTGCTGTGACATGACACCGACCAACGGAAAGGGTCTGTTTGGCTCACATGTCCCAGTTACAGCCAATCACTGAGAGGAGTGAAGGCAGGCACTCAGCAGAAGAGGCAGAAGCCATGGAGGAAAGCTGTTTACTGACTAAGCTTTCCATTGCTTGCTCCGTTTGCTTTCCTATGCAATCCACGATCATCTGCCTAGAGTGTGGTACCACCCACAGTGGGCTAGAGCCTCTCACCTCAGTTATTAACAAAGAGAACGCCCCACAGACTTGCCTATACGCAATCTGATGGGGACAATTTCTCAGTTGAGATTCCCCTTTCCCAGATGTATCTAGGTTTATGTCAAGTTGACAAAAACTAACAAGCCCAAGTGCATCATCATCATCATTATCATCAACACCACATCATAGCCATCATCACCATTATCATCACCATCATCGTCACTATCATCAACAAATCATGACCATCACCAACACCATTATCACTACCCTCATTAACATCAAATCGTACCTGCAATCACCATTACCATTATATCATCAACACCGCATCATGACCATCATCATCATCTTCATCATCACTATCATCAACACCTCAAGAAGACTGTCATTACAATCATCATCACTATCTTCATCAACACTGCATCATGGCCATCATTGCCATCACCGTCATCATCACTATCATCATCAATACAGCAACAAGACTGCCATCACAATCTTCATCAACACCAATCTTCATCAACACCGCATCACGGCCAACATCGTCATCACCGTCATCATCACTATCATCACCAACACCTCAACAAGACTGTCATCACTACCTTCATCAACACCGCATGGTGGCCATCATTGCCATCACCGTCATCATCACTATCATCATCAACACCTCAAGAAGATTGTCATTACAATCAACATCACTATCTTCATCAACACCGCATCGTGGCCATCATTGCCATCACCGTCATCATCACTATCATCATCAATACCACAACAATACTGTCATCACAATCTTCATCAACACCGCATCGTGACCATCATCACCACCATCACTTTCATCTTACCATTCTAGCTACTGTCATACCACTACACTTGGCACCCCACACAGGTGGTAGAGAGAGACAGTCAGTGAGGGCTCTACTGGCAAAGAAGGGAAGAGAGGGAAAGGATGATCGAGTCAGGGAGGGGAAGAAAGAGAGAGAAGGAAGAAGCTATAGACACAATGATAGAATCCCAGAACTGAAAAGGACCTTGGAGGCCAACCATCTACAGCTTCATTTTCCAAATGAAGAAACTGAGGCCGAGACGGTGTGAGCTGTTCAAGATCACTGCTGGGTCTGTATTGGAGGAGAGGAGACCCAGGGCTCTCTTTCTACTCACTCTCACTGCCTCTAAGGGCCCCCAGTGATGAGGGGCAGACATAGGGTCATCAGAACTTCCTCTCAGACACTTCCTTTGTCTTCTACCCAGGAGCTCTAAGCCTAGGCAACGTCACCAGTCCAGTCCGCTGTTATCTTCTTCCCACACTGCAGGCTTTAGGAAACAGACTGGCTAGGACACCTCTAGGAAGGAGGGTCTGTCGAGGCAGGCTGGCTTACCTTGGACCTGTGTCTGGTACACAATGAAGTAGCTGGGGTTCCCACAGCTCTCAAACTCTTCAGCACTGCACTTCTGTGCACACAGCTGCTCATCCTCCCGGTCATGAAGAGGGAATCGTGTCGTAGGAAACCCGCAGTGGCAAGCGGTGCCAGCGAGAGCTGCCAAGGGGTACTCCTGGGCATGAGAAGAGAGGGTGAGTCACCTGGTCCTTGTACGGCCCAACCATCCTCCTCCCCAGACATCAGCAGCTACCCTCCCTGGCAGACTGCCTCCATTCCAGCACTTGTGTTGATTAACTGTTTATCTGATTCCTTATTTGAAATAAGACTTCAGGATAAACCTGGTATCCGTAACCAGGAAGATCAGTGGAGAAGCGGGTTCCCACACATTCCCACGCAGCAAAGGGAGACCCATAGACTATACCAGCTCTCCCCATCTGTTGACTCCATGGTGAGGTTTAAAAAAACATTCCAGAAAAGTACTATCTCGTCACTGAACACCTGGACCTTTCCTTTCCCTCAGCGATCACCATAGCAACTCCTTACACAGCATTAGTACCAAATTAGGGCTTAGAAGTCACCTAGAGCTGAGGATGTGCAGGGCCTCTGCAGAACCTTGACAGTTCAGTAAGACACAGGCAAGGCAAGGCGTGCTGGAACTCAACCCCAGGACACTAAATGGCTAGTGTTGGTAAATGCTGCCCGGGTTCTGCTGTGAGTGAGCCTGGGGTCAATGTCATCTTTTCTGGCAAAAGGGATTCACTGGGAGCTGTGGTAGAGAGAGTCAGCTCTACACAGACACTTTCCCTGGGAGCCTAGGAGAGAGTCAAGGGCGCATGCCTCTATTGATCTTGTCCCTGTCTTTTGTGTGACTGTCACACAGTTCACATCTTGGGAAATGTTGTAAATCATCCATTGATCATGTGTTCATGTGCATGCCATAGTGTGGAGGGCAGAGGGCAGCATGCAGAAACCAGCTCTCTCCTTCTGCCGTGGGTCCTGGGAATCAAACCCAGGTCTTCAAACTTGGTGGCAAGTCTTTACCCACTGAGACAGCATGTTTGATGTGGGATTCCCCTCTGTACGCTAGGAATATGTTTTATTGTCATTGGTTAATAAAGAAGCTGCTTTCAGCCAGGTGGAAAATCCAAACAGGCATAGATGTAGAGAAAGAGTAGACAGAGTGTCAGGGAGATGCCATGTAGCTGCCTAAGGAGAAAGACGCCCGCCAGAGCCCGCTGGAACCTTGCCGGTAAAACATGAGCCCCATGGTAAAATATAAAATAATAGAAGTGGGTTATATTAAAATGTAAGAGCTAGCTAGAAATATGCTTAAACTATTAGCCAGACAGTATTGCAATTAATATAATTTCTGTGTGATTATTCAGGTCTGGACGGCTGGGAACGAACAAGCAGCTCTGCCTACACTTGTTGGCCCAAATCTGTGTGCTTTTAAACCAAAAGGATATAGGTGTGCACACCCAAAGAAGCCTTGGGTTGTCTCCTTTGACCCCAGGCTAACTCTGTCCGGTTGGCTCCCAAACCAGATGCAGACCAGATTTCCCCCTGGTCACAGGTCCAGGAAGACTCAGGAGAGAAAAGCACATAGCACATCCTGTGAGCTCTGCTCCCACGGCGCTTGCTTTCTCAGATAGTTTACAGGAACTGCTTAGACGCAGAGAGAAAGGCAGCATGCACCTGGGTGCCACTGGGCCACTACTGATGTCACTACCTACCTAGGAATGTTTATTGTGCCTCCTCAGGCATCCTCAATCTCACACTCCCTCACCACTAGACGCAAGTAGGCAACTCCTGACACTCTGTGTGACTCCACTGCCTTGAATCCATGAACTAATGTATTCCCGTCTCATCACAGCCACGACCTGTGACCTCATCTGTTGCGAGTGACTGTGACTTATCCAGCCCACATCCTGCTCCTTGGACTTCCTGACACCCTGTCCTTGCATCCCGAATGCCGCAAACGGCCCTAGCTTACCTTCTCTGTGCAGAGGTCCACACACCTGTCTACAGACATGTTTGGCATGGCGACTGTCACAGGCAAGGCCAGGGAGAGGTTGTTCGGTCGGCGGAAGCAGCCCCTGAATACAGCACTTCCATCTGAAGAGGCAGACAGAGCTGTCAGACCTAGGGACAGCTAATTTTGATCATCAACCTGACCGTGTCTGGAACCAATTAAAGCCCAGGTAGCTGAGCAAGCATGCGAAGGATTTTCTTGATTGGATCACTTGAGGTGAGAAGATCCTCCCTGAATCTGGACCACACCTTTAGAAGCAGCCCCATAAAAGAACAAGGAAGAAAGCTGCTGCCTTTGGCCTACTTGCTCTCCTTCTCACTGGCAAGTTCATCTGTCTTGCCCCTGAGGCATTCCCTCGCTGATATTAGAATCCACATCTTCAGGATCCCAGTGTAGACTGAAGACCAGCAGCTTTCTAGAATTTCCTGGGGCTGGACTGGAGCTGTTGACAATTAGACTGAAGGACTGAACAGCTACCAGACTTTTCTGTCAGAAGACAGCAATTGTTGGACTATTCAGACCACAGCCTATATATAAGTCATTCCAATAAATCCCCTTCTGGAAGGAAAATCTAGACGGCTGCCCAGAGAAAGCAGAATCTGCCTGAGGTCACACAGCATGTCAAAACAGAGAGGAAAAGCACCGGCTTGTTCCTGGTGAATGAGCTCAGAATTTCAGGGGACGCTCCTCTGCCCTGGCATTTGTGTCAAGAGGTGGCCAAGATGAATTCACCTTACCCCTTTTCTTTTTTGGCCCCCCTGTGCCTCATGGTGGTGCTGCCTCACTCAAGGAACAGACACATGGCGCGCAGGGTTTTTCACATTTTCATAAGGGCCAGCACTGCAGGACGCAGGGAGCAAAGCACCTGTCAGCATCCTGGGTACCACCTTTCCTCCCAGCTCCAGGGTCCCTCTTCCTCCCGTGCTGGGCTTTAGGGGAAAGTCCCCGACCTCAGACATCTCTGCTGACCCAGAACGGACTCAGATTGGCTGCAAGAGTTGCTGTAGTGGCAGGAGATGGGAGGGGACTCTTTTTAAGATCCTTAACCTGGAAACACCCCAGTGGCATAGTAGAAGACTGGGAGCCCACTGCTGTGTCCCCAAGAGGAGTCGCCCCTGAAGAAAACATCTGGAACCATGGTCTTCGGCTGGCTTTGGGGAAGCAGAGCCTGGGGTAAGAGTACAGTGGAAAGCTCTGGATGGGAAATGTGGAACTCTGATGGGCTCAGGAAGGGGGTGAGTGCATCTCTCTTTCTCTAATAAAAGCTCTTCTCTATTCCTTTCCACAATGAATATGTATTTTATATAAGTAAGAAAAGCAGGATGTGGCCCCTGTGATCTGTTGCAAGGTTCATGGAGCATATTTCAAAATCTATCGGCCTTGGTTTGAGTCTCAGATCTTGCTTTCTTGCAGTGCTGGAACCAACTCAAGTTCCTAGTACAGTCTAGGCTTGCTCTCCCACTGAGTTACACCCCAGCTCTTTACTGCTCAGATCTTGACTTGAATGTTTTTTCCCAGAATCAATCATGACAAAGAACCGAACTCTTGAGCACAGGATCAGGGACTGATGGCATTTACACTTACTGAGCACCGTAGAAGTACCAGCATGTTCCAGTCTCCTGAAAATTTTGCAAGGGGCCTAGGGGTGTGGCTTGGTTGGTAGAGGCTTGCCTAGCACGTACAACACCCTGGTTCCATTCCCAGTACCACATAAACCAGGCATAGGGACAAAAGACTGTAATCCTAGCGCTTGGGAACTGGAGGCAGGAAGGTCAGAAGTTCAAGGTCATCCTTGGCTACCTAGTGAATTTGAGGCCAGCCTGGGTTATGAAACGAAACAAACTCCAAGTCTGCAAGAGGCAAACTCACTGAGAAAGTTCGATGAGAAACTAAGAAGCAACTGTTGTAGAGGTGCCCCATTCTTCCCAGCTGCTCTCAGAGCAAAGGAAGCTGCGGAGGGCACAGGCCTCCAGCTCGGCGGATCTGAGAGTTGTAGGGCAGATCCACATTCTGGTGCATACACACCTTAGATTCATGGGCTGGCAAGGGATGGAGAATTTCTTCCATGCAGGAGATGCCAGCGTTCAGGAATAGCATGTCTAAATTTTAGGTCTCAAAGTTACCCTCATGGTCATTTCTACCATCCGACGCCTGCGGCCTGAGCTCACGGTGGCACTGGCCCACAGCACAGGGATTGCACAGGCTTACAGGGTAATTCTTATGTCACGCCAGGGTGTGTGCTGCTGTCCTGCCATTCTGTGTCCCTTCCTATCACCCTGATGGTGCCTAAGACCCTCAGAAAGGACAGAGTTGAGTCAGAAGGGGTGAAGGGTGTTGAGGTACATGGGAAGGAATGTGTCTGTCTACATCCAAGGGGATAAGGGGATGGGAATGAGGGCACAGAGGGCCTGAGTGTGTGTGTGGACAGTGGGAAGGTGTGGGTGGGATGTGTGTATGTGTGAGATTGTCCATGATGCATCCACCTGTTTGGGCACACAGATTCCAGACTTGGAGAGGCAGGTGGGAACCTGTGGGCTTCTTCAGGGTCAGTCCTGGGCTCTGGGGGGTGGGCATGTGTCTATCTGCCCTGCTGGATAGCCAGTTAGCCATGGCAGGGATCCCTTCACCTAGCTCAGGACAAGGCTGACCTAAGTTAACCTGCCACTCTGGGCTGACCCACAGAATACACGGTGGTCCAGTATTTCCCAAGGATCCTTTGAGCAGCCAGGTCTGAATCTAAGAGGCAATGTACTTCGCCGAGGGGGAGCAGGAGAGGCGGGCCTTGGCCAGAGTCCAGTCCACACGGGGAAAGGTAAGTGCTTCTGGGGCTGGAGAGATGGCTCAGAGGTTAAGGACACTGAATGTTCTTCCAGAGGTCCTGAGTTCAATTCCCAGCAACCACATGGTGGCTCACAACCTTCTAAAATGAGGTCTGGTGCCCTCTTCTGGCATGCAGGCCTACATGGAGGCAGAACACTGTATTGTATATGTAGTAAATAAAGTCTTAAAAAAACCATTTTTTTAAAAAAAAAAAAGGTAAGCACTTCCCTGACTTCCCACAGCCTGAATGTTCTCAGGGCCTAGATTAGGAATGATATGGAGGAGCCTTGTAAGCTGCGGCAGGTCCTCCTCTGTACCTGCTGCCCTGAGAAAAGTGGGAGAGAGGCATAGAGTCTCAGCCTGGGCATCAGGAGCCCAGACTGCAAAGGGCAGCGAGAGAATGAGGACGTTGCAGCCAGTGCCGCTGAGAGGAATCTACTTTGTCCTGTAAGCAGCTGCTCATGAATGGAGCCAGGGAGAAGGGCTCAACAGGAAGCCCTGATTTCAGATAAGGTGAGGATTGCTGAGCCGCGAAGCAACAGAGACAGCAGCTTGGGGAACAGGTCCCGAGGACAGCAGGATGAGAGTCAGCTCCAGCAGCAGCAGTGTCTCAGGTGTAGGATGCCCCTGTTGAGCCCCTGGGGAAGACTGCAGAGCCACAGGGCTCCTGAAGCCCAGGAGAAGATGGGGGAGCCTTCTAAGTCAGCAAGGAAAGAGTCCAACCAATCCTCAGGAGCCCCGGGAGCCCAGTGGAGGCCATTTCTGTCTTTGAGTGACTGTCCACTACAGCCTGGTCAACTGGACACTGAACATGCTAATGGTGGCTGGACTCTGGTCTCCTCACTGCCTTCCTTCCCCTTCCATTTCTATGGGTCACAAGAATGTCTGCTTACTGTCTCTTAGATTTGAAAATAAAACTGAGGTGGCCAGTGGCTTCCTTTGGCCTCTGTGGCATAAAGATATTTGGATTTCCACAGGACTAGATGATGTTCATGCTGGAGAATCTCTGGAGTCCAGGGCAAAGTCGACTTCTCTGGGTTAGTGGATTTAGAAGATCACCTTCACGTTTCACTGAGCCTCAGTTTTCCACATCTGTGAAAGGGGTTGTCCTCTATTTCACTTGTACACACAGAGGCTTGGGACTAAGCAGCAGCTACTGTCTGTATTCCTTTAATACGCACACCCACCACAGGACAGGATGAGGGTGGCCAGACACTATGCTTTAGTGTCTAGAAGAAACTTCCCCTGGAGCCACCCTCAGCCAGACATGGGTTGGAGTCGGGGAATAAATACTCCAGCCTTCTGTTCCTCTGAAGGCTGATGGGGGTTCCTGAGAGCTCCAGCGGGCCTAGGGGACTCTTCATGAGTGACTGGCTCCTTAAGACTCTTCATGGGCTGCTTCTGGTCTTGCTACTCCATTCCCTAGCAGAGGCACCGTGGCACCAGCCTCCAGTCACCTTGTATCCGGGGAAACAGTGTAAGGGCTCAAGGAAGAATCCCTTCTAGAGGCCAGAGTCAGAGCCGTTCAGAGGCCACCGGTCGAGTGACACTTCCCAGTCACGTTCCACCATAGCCCTTACTATAGTAACCATAGTGACTGTAACAGCGACTTCCGTGTGCATCATGATGTCAGGCGTATTTCATGCAGAGCCTCATTTGTCTTCACAGCAACCCGAGGCCATCCGAACTATGACCCTGTTCTACAGGCCGAGAGCCCAAGACATAGAAGGACCCATCTCCAGGTCCCTCAGCCATCTTAGAAGGACCCATCTTTAGGTCCCTCAGCCATCGGGAACAGAACTGGCCTGTACCGCAGACTTTCTGCAGTCACCGGTGCTTTCTAACTTCTGCGTCTCCATGTGAGCTCTGTCCAACGTTAAGGTGGGGCTCTGGAGACCACACCAGCCACGCTTATTTCTAGGATTCTTCTCAGGCTCCATAGCAGGATCCTGAGGAGGTTGCAGAAGCCTGTGCCCCACACTTTGACAATGTCAACTCTTATTGGCAGTCTATCAGGGACACTCGCGACCCCATTGGCTTGAACTTTTTACTAGAAAGAGTTGAGCAGAGCAACGGCACACTGCATGCTTCGGGGGCAGGTGCATGAAACCCAGCCACTTCAATGTTCTGGCGTGTCACAAAAAATGAGATAAATGTTACTGGGCACCAGCTCAGAGGCAGCCATGGAGGAATCCTCCTTGGCAGGAAAGGGGCTACCACCTCCCGGGTTATTAGGCCAAGTTCATGGTACTAAAGATGCAGG